GCGGGGTACAAGTAGCAAGGGACGCGTGAAGTACAAAACTCCACATCGAATCGAGCTGATTGGTCAACAAACAAGTGCCTAGCCACGCCTTTTCATTGCGAGGAAAGTCTGGGTTCGTGAGGACTGCTATTGCCGAAACCAAGAAAAGTGAGGAAGAAAGGAAGGCTTCGTCGCTGTGTTCGAACGAACGCTTCAAGGACGCTGCGAAGTGAGGTTTCAGAGAACTAACTGACGGCGAACTGTTCACACAGATAGAGGTTATCGACACCCCTTGCCCAACTCATGGCCGTGTCTTGAAGGGAAAACACATTGCTCGGTGACAAGCCTGAAATCGGGCCCGCCTCGTCCAGCGTTCGGAGAGAAAATGCGAATCATCACGACTGGTTCTGGCAAACAATCCAGAGGGTAAATAGCAGGCTGTTTTCCGACGCGGCCATCACCATCCATGGGCGTATGGCATGTACCGTAGAGCCACCCCCCGAACAAGGGTTGCCGTTAGCCTTGTCAAAAGTTGTAATTCTTCCGTACACGAGTTAAGGGCAAGAACACGAAAAACAGGTTGGTCTGTACAAACGTCAGCGCCAGACTGCTGTATCTCCTTCACTCACTCTCTCTCTCTCTCTCTCTCTCTCTCTCTCTCTCCCTCTCTCCATCTATATATCTCTGTCTCTCACGTTCAATTGCATGCGATCATTATTCTGGCACGTTCGACAGCACGTGGACGGATAAATCTGGGCCTGCAAGATCGACCATGGGTCCACCTCTCGAGGATGAGGCTTTCATCACCCTCGGCCAATATATCCCGCGGGAACGGGCAGGGGGGCAAACCCGTCCAATGCTTGCCATAACAAACGGCCCCCGTCTTGCCCGCACGTGGAAAGGTGCATACTTCGTACATGGTAACAACAGGCCCTGCCGGCACCTTTCCCTCGGAGATCGTGATTCTTGTGACAGGTGCAGGTTTTCATTCTCGTAGAATGACACCATGAAAATCTCGTAGATAGTGACGTGTCAGATGATGACCTGGTAGAGTATACCTTCGGGGTGCATGCTGAACATACAGGTGTACACGGGAAGAACGAAAGAACATTCGTCCACCTTAAGCGCAGACTTGGCACAACCGTCTCACACCCAACGTGATACGTATGGCTACATATTGTAGTACAGATGGCGCCCGCACTTAAGAACCGCTTATATTGGCCAAGGCTCGATGCTTATTGGCTGCCTCAAATTGAGCACCTGTTATTATTTTCAAACTTTGTATTTCGAGCAGGTATCCGTATGATACACGGGGTTCTTGTTCTTACTTCTGCGCCGAGGGCCTCAGTCGGAGAACTTTTTTCTTTTCTGGGTGGATTCAGCCTGACACTTGAGAGCATGTTCATAAAACAGAGTATAATGATAGAAGGTCGCTCAACAGAGACCTCTGGAATATCGACGTTCCGCAGATCACGATAGGGTAGAGTTAAATACAGACGCGGTATCGCCTGGAAAAATGACGCATCGGAGCAAATACGTTGAACCATTTAGAGGTCCATGAGGGTCACGTTCGACGTGATTGCCCTCCCCGCTCTACCTAACGCCCGTCGTAGCTACATTGCGACCTTCACCCTGCTCTTCGAATGCCGGACCTCCTCCCTGCTCTACGGCGCACTCCCCTCAAGCAAAGCCCACCACCCTACCGCCGCACCCGCATCTTCATTGTGCTTGTCCAACGGCATTCATGCGGCGCGTCCTTGGTCTACATGTAGCTCGAAATGCACACGGTAGTCGTAAAGGTGGCGGGTACGCTCCTGAGACGGCCGCAGCCCATGCTTAGCTTTATGAGTACTCCACATGCAGCAACGAACTGTCAAGAGTAGCGGATTTAGACGCTTGAATTCGAAAACTGGTGGGTGCGACGAAGGAAGAGGTGTCGGAAAGCTTTCGTCGCCCCCGCGCCGACTCGATGACCTCCAAGTCTGACTTCGTGGGCAGTTGCCAGCAATGACATGTTCGTTCTTTGATGGCCTCTAGGTGTCCATCAAGAGTTACACCTCTTTCAACTTTGACAGCTGGCCGAGCTCGTTCAATATTTCAAGGGGTAAAGACATGGCTCTCGTGCATGGCACGCAGCGTGGCAGGCACCCCAATGACACGTGACGAGGGGTATGCCTTGTACAACAAAGCAAAGCACCTACCCCGCCCTCCCTCTCTCCGCATCGACCAAGGTCACATGTGACCGCGGCTCCGAGTGCGGACACCGGGTTCATGTATTTATTTGCGGAATGTCTGTTGTGCAAGGAGAGGAGATTTTACGTGACTGAGCCTTGGGAAAAGTAGAGGGAAGATACAGGGAGATGTTTGAGGCATGGAATACCAGCTAGGTAGCTGTGCTGGGGCATAGAACGTGGGTTGAAGAGGCGGGACCTAATATCGATAGGATGGAAAGGCTAGGGACAACATTTTTGATAGACATTGTTTTTTGTGAAGTAGGAGGGGACGATTGGCAAATCGGCCTGTGGGAACAATACTCCGTCCTCTCGAGGACGCGTGGTCAATGGTCTAACCACTCAGATATGCAAAACATTAGAGTACACCCCGCCCCCGCCCCCCCCCGCACCAGTACTATTTGAAACGGAGATCCCCTTCCTCGTCGATGACCTGAAAATGCCGGTGGGTGGGGTCACCGGACACCCCGTGAGTCACCCCTCACCACCTTCATGAGTTCTCTTGCAGCTGCCACTTTTTGGGGGGTCTGTTCTTATCCGAAGGCGCTTTGTTGAACCACAAATACGGGTGCTTATTCTTAAGACCACGTCGGAACTGAGCACGTGTCTTATGGCCAAGTTCTTAAATTTTGAATTATTCGAGGCTGCATTTCTTGACTGCTAAGTTCTTAAGTGCGAGCGCCATCTGTAGCGCCTCTCCGCCAAATATTCGCGCGAGTATGGCCATCAAAACCAAGGTGCTAACGGCAGAGGTTTCGACTCTTCCGTCTTTTTTCTTGTCAGCGCGAGATAGTTTCAGTTGTACGCATACGGGCATCGAAGTCAGAGAGGAGCAAGAGCACGTTGTGCGGGTACATAGTGTATGTAGCTGGGTGGCACCGGCAGAGTTGTATGTAGGTGTTAGTTACATATTTTATCTACATGCATCGTCTCTGTTGCCAGGGCATCACAAGCCCTGCGCAGCAGACTTATCAACTATTGTATCTCTAATGTAGAAGCAGCATTGCGGAGACGTGTGGGGTGGGCGAGAGAGAGACAGACAGACAGACAGACAGACAGACAGGCAGACAGACAGACAACAGAGAGTTTAAATTTCACCTCCCCGTCTCTGATTGGTTGAATGGTGGTCCCACCACAGGTCAGAGATTGCATTGGCAAGGCGAACGCGACGTATCTCCCCCCAGTGTCTGAGCTGTGGTGCTTGCACCACCCAATTTTCAGCCGTATCCTAGGCATGCGTGTCATATGTGGGAGATGCGGGTGTCTGTTGGACGGGATGGCGTGTTACTCCTGCTGTACAGCAGAGGTCCTTCTTTAGTGCCGGTTGAATAGTGCCGGTTGCCGGTATAGTGCCGGTCAAATCTCGGCGCACAGAACCCGCCCTGAATAGTGCCAGACCGGCACTTTTCAGGGCTGCCCACAATAGTGCCGTTTCGGGTCCCACTGAACCCCACAATAGTGCCGGTTCAAGCACGCACGCACACACAACACACAAGAGACACACACAACACGGAAGACAGACACAGAGGAGACGCCGTGTACCACCTGTCGAAAGCGAGGATGGCGATGATCGCAGCGCATACCGCAAAGCGGGCTCGCCAGGCAGACATGCGGGAATTTATCACGACGTAGTGAGGGCGGGGGTTACAGCTACAGCGGCTGTTTGATTACATCCCGTTCGACTGTGGGTATATCTCGAATGGGTAGTCTTTCTGTGCGTGTATTTATTTCTCCTTAATTTCTTGCATGTCCCGTTCTTGCGGTCGTGTTTTTTTTTTTCTTGTTCTGGCTACATCGAAGGAGGGTGAGGAGGAGACAGATTTAGCTTCCTCCTTCACCAATAAGTTGTGCCAGCAGGAGCTTCGCAAAGGTGTTACCGCAAAAAATCCATGCGCTTCATGATCAGTGGTTTGCTTTCGCTGTCGAGGAGTGATGTTGAGGTTGCGCGAAATGGTTTGATCCGTTTAAGGCCAGTGCCACGGCATTCTTGCCAACAAAATATTGGACATCTATGAGATGCATCCTTTGCGATATTCATGTCAAGGGTTTAAGTCAGGTTGTGCAAGTGTGCAGTACGTGCGCTGAGGTGGGTACAGCAACAAGGTGCAGCATGTGTGTCCCGTCCAGTTAACTTATTAAGCAATACCATGGTATGTGTGTTCGACAGGGCAGGAACCACCCCTGTCGTGGCACAGCAGTCTGCCCGCGACGCCCATGCCATGATCTCACCATGTACGTTTCATGTGGTACTCTGTTGGCCCCGTAAAGCAAAGCGCTGCACTCTGAGATCACACAGTTCGTCAACAGTGCCGGTCTGGTACTATTGAGGGATTTTCAGACCCTGAATAGTGCCCCTTTGGCACTATTCAGGCACTCTGAAGAATAGTACTGGTGCCCGGTATAGTGCCGGTGAAATTTTTGCGCACACCCCGGCACTAAACAGGGGCCTCTACTGTACATTATCTTCAAGAGACCGTTTGGTGCGCCAGCCACGCTCGCCGAACAGCAGGAAGGGGGGTGCACACCTGGAGAGTGATGATCTCTCGCCCGGAGGAGTCGTTCATGGTAACGTTGTCGGTGTTGTTCCTCGCGTCCGTGCGGCTGTGCTGCAACTCTGCCACTGATAACATTTGCGTGTTTGCGGGGCATAGGGGCTCCGCCGAGCATGGACGAGGCTAGTTTGCGCTTGTACCCCCTCCGGGACTGTCGGAAATTTCTCGGATTTGGCAACCCTGGGCTGGTTGCAGCAGCGGTGCTTCCGCTCCTGTCCCTCGGGGTAGACAATCGGCATTCTTGCGGCAGGCAGTCGTTAAGGGCATGACAAGGAAATCGACGCTTCTTCCGTTTCTCTCTGCCGCTGGCGAAAAAGCCTACGCTTGATGTGATTGGGGCAACGGACTCGGCATCGATATCGCTCATAATACTGCTTGAGCTGCGTATTGCCCGTTGAGGCGATTCTGTCGCTCAGGCTGCGTTTTCTGCTGTCTTGTTTGGCGCTGATTACCTGTGCACGCGCACACTAGGCGTCCTGGAGAAGCATTCAACTACTCCTGTGCAGCGATCTTCTTTGGATCCTGTGTCACACGCTATTTTCATCTCTCCTCGGTCGGTGATGTTTCCACGCAACGCGCCGCTGCTTCTCTTTGCGGCCGTTCTGCTGCATGGGATCCCCATCCTTCATGCTCGAAGGTATGGCATTCATGTATGGTGGCATTCATGTGTATGCAAACATGCAATATAGAAGTTGCCGCCGTCCAAATGAAATCGTCTGAAGTGATTGTGTAGTCTACTGTAGCTTGCAGAATACAACAGTCGATGGCCTCCATGGCATTGCGCTGCAATTTTAATTCCGCGCCCAGGACTACTAGTCTAGACTACGTGTACTGCTGCACTGCTTAAAATCGCGGCAGACATCGAATGTTACACGTTCATTGATTCGTGAACAACCGCAAGAGCACCAGAGAACGCACACGAGACTCACAAAACCAGTCGGGGGAACCCCTTTTGCCACCCTTGTTCGTATCGAACCGGTGAGGTGACGTCGGGAAGAAGACTTCAACTTGAAGAGCAAAGCACATGTAGTTGATCGTCTAGCAGAAGGAGGAGTCACGCATCCGCTCGAAGCCAATTGACCAAGCATGTAGAGCCTTCCCATCGACCGGCTACAGGCTATACAGTAAACCAACGAAGCCCCGATTCTTCGGGAGGGTTACAGTAGTGCTGCTGTAGGATGAGACTTCCGACCCGTCCATGGGGACGCGTGTGCTTGCCAGGAGCGCCCCATCGACTGGAACCAACAGCAAGCTCGGGTACGTGTGTGTGAACGAAAAACGAACACTAGTCTACTGCTGTACTGCTTTAACCCTAGTACCAACCCAACAAAGCAACGCCGCGGGGAGGTTCGTTTCTTCTGTTGTTCGTTGGAATACTGGCAGCAGTGGTCGTACTGGCTGCTGTGTTGTCTCTGAGACGACGCCGTCGTCCTGCCGGCGTCGTCCTGCAACTTGATGTCGGGGGTCATTGACCGTTTTCCTGGGTTCCCAAAAGATTTGTCACACGATGCCCGCTTCGATGTTAGCACCTGCAAAGACAAACGCATAGATTTTCGCAACATTTTGAAGTATGGTCATCCGGACCAATCAAGCTACTCCCACTCTATGCGGCTGGAATACCATATTGCGGCCTCCCTCATATCTCTGAGCTATGAGCTAGTGACTGCCATCCTTGCGTGCGCTGTCTTCTACTTTTTGGGTCCACAAACCTTTTGGCTATCTGTGCAATACATATGCTGTTCACGCGACATGTCCAATCATTTGCAAGGGCGGTTGGGAGACGAGGTGATGTCGAGGTGGTGGAGGCCGTCGTCGATGTTGGCGGGACTGTCGGCGGGACTGTAGGTATCGGCCAGGACACGGACGAATGGGGCGAGGGTGATGACGACGAAGATTGCGAGGTAGAATGTTGCCCCCCCCAGTGGTATTTGTGGTGTTTGTATGGTGCCTCGACATCAACAATGTCCGTGTTACAGCCGCTTTGTTGACGTCGTACCTCATTTTCTCATAGGGAAGTTGACGAGTAGTGACGGTCTCAATGGTATGGGCTGACCAACTGCTGGGCGACGATCTTTCCTAAGCGGTAGACATGGACAAGGACATGGTGTATGGTGGGGATAGAGAAGCGAGCGGGATGCCCCTGCTGACTTCCAATTTTGGCATCATGACGTGTGCAATATTAGCGACGCCAAGCCTTTGAATGACGAGGCAAGGTTCAACTTCTCCAGAGCTCCAGCACACTTCCCTAGGCGACAGGTTAGCGATCGTCCGTTTGTATGCCCAACCCCATACGGACAGTTGAACACTGATGCTGAGGTGTTGCCCACGTTTTCGTCCAGAAAGTGCGTGGTTGTCGGCAGAGATCACCTTCGCCATCGAGCACTGCTGTGGCCTACACAACCCTTGCGTAGTGGAAATGCTCGGCACCAGCAGTCGACCGAGTGTGCACCCGACCCGTCCAGTCAACTCAAGAAGTCTTGAACCAGTTTCCACCCTTGAGAACACCTACTATGCTCTCTTGCTTTTGGCTCTAAATCGACAGGTTGTGTCGCCGGGGGAGAGTACCGTAGAAGACGACCGAGGTCCGGGGCGGTTATCCGATGGCGCTTTGGACAGTGCAGTCCTGCAAGGACCGGTGTCGCTGTCTGTGAGGGATCGGGGCTTGGTGACGACGGAAGTGTCTCCCGCTTCCATTTTACGGGTGAGGGCACCGTCATATTCGGTTTTGATATCTTGCTATTATAGCGCTCCCATGCAACAGGCACGACGCGTCATTGTGATTCCTGGAGTATCGTCATTGGTGTGGCGGTATGTTGGCTGGATGGTTTTGGTCGTAATGTTGGCCTCGCCGTCTCTAGCTGTCTCTGCATGGTATGCTTCGGGTAGCTCCATGTGGCTCTCGTTGCATACACCGCACGTGGTGCTGTACTACGACTGGTGGAGTCTTGCCCGTCAGTTTTATTCGATGTTCGCGGACGAGGGTGGTGTCATGCCCCTGTTGTCTGAACGTCTAGCTCTCCAATGCCTTCAAATACGAAACTGCTTCCCGCACCAAACTGCCGCATAGCCAACATGTTTTGCCATCACCTTACGAGAGCACAGCATGGCGCTCATCATTTTTTCAAATCCGTCACTGGTGACGGTTGATTGGCTCCTTTTTTTTCGTGGTACGGACGGTTGACCTTTACAGGAGCACAAAGCGTGGCACTCGGAGGAGAAGAAGGTCAATTTTGTAGGCGAAACCCTAGGGTGAGGTGATAGTGCTCGCCATCGTCGATGCTGTTGTTGTCATTTTTCGATATTTATTGGAATCGAAGTCTCTATTCCTCGGTCGCAACCTGACCGCGATGCTACGATGAAGCAATGCATGTTCGTAGACGTGTGGTTCAATGTAGGTAGACTCGACGATAAAAACAGGACGAAAGCAGCAACAGCGACAACTGATTGATGCTGGTTATTTTCATCACGATCCTGTTACTATATGAGACAGTCGTTACTGTTGGTGTCGGTCGAAATGCTGTTTGAACGTTTGGAATCGGTTTGTGGTTGGGTTCGACACTTCGATGTATCCCTGACACGGCCACAATTGAGTCCCTGTCTGGCATTGGGAAAGTATTACGTCATTTTGGCGATCAGGTCGGTCGGCGGGCCCGATAGATTCCCTGACGAGCCGATTCATCATTTCAACGGCGTCCCTTCCCGTTAAATACTTGCTCGCTTGTCTAGCGTGCGTGGCCTGCTGGCCTGCTACGGTTGATCGGGCCCACAACTTGTCGAAGCCACCCAAGCGGACCATTCGATATCTGAACCACTCATGTAGCAATCCGCCGAACCATTGATGCACGCGTAAAGGTACGTCACTCCCTGGCACGGTGAAGGGTACGACTTCGCCCGAACTTTCCGCTCCAAGCTCACGTACGTCAGCCCGGTGTGGTACCAGCTTAGGGGCGGTCGCGAAAGAGACCCTTCCCAGGGAGGAGGCAATGACAGTCCCTCCTTTCACCTGGCTGGGGGACATGACTTTGACGAGGCGTGGGTTTCGGATGTGCGGAACGGGGTCGGCGAACGGGACGGAAGGGACGGTGAAGTGACAAAGGTGCGTTCTCAAAGATAAGGACCAAGAACTGCATTATGGCAGAGGGCGGCGCTTTGTTTTCTACGCAGAGGTTCGCTCTTGTGGTGTCGTAGTAAGGTGGTGGGACGTTGTGATATTGCTGTGGGTGTTGCAGGGCATCGGTGTTCGAGAACGTAGTTGACGGAGAGGGAGCACGAGTCTGGGGCAAGTACGGAACGAAAATATTACCTATCTATTTGTTTCGTATCACTCCGGTTCACGGTATTGTTGTTGTTGTTGTTGTTGTCTTCACATTATACAATGTACAATACTGTAGTTATGGTGGTGGTTCATCTGACCACTGCTGTGATGCGATGGTGTCGTTCACTGGCACCTTCGCGGATGTACAATACCTTTTGAGTATCGATACTGAGCTATGAAGGTTGTTTGTACTTGTCTGCGTGTTGGGCGTTGTAAATGATCAGCATTGGGCGATTCGTTGTAGACTAACACCGTAGCCCTTTTGAGCTCGACGAGAACCGTCTCTGTCGCGTTGTCGACCGACCGGGAGGCTACCGTATGCCGTACATGTACATCTTTTCACGTCTGTACCCCTTCCTCGTGGTTCACGTTATCAATGGTTGCTACCAATGATTGCCTTGGCCAGATCGTTCCTCGTGTGGTGTTAGAGCTGCGGCAAGGCTCTGCTCTTTCCCGAGCGGATCTTCGGGAGATGGCAGAGCTGCTTGTGGCGGAGGCTGTGCAAAGAGGGTGAGCTAGAATACCCTACTGTTTTTATTTCCTCTCGCCACGCTGTTGTGACTGCCCACCTCAGGCCCGAGGTCATTGTTGTCTTGGTGTTGGTGTTGGAAAATAGTCGCACTTGTCACGTTTTCCCTCTCCCCGACACCCAGGTGAGTCATGCAGGTGATGCTCGTCACACCCATACGCTGGGTTCCGTTGCTGTTTTCCCGCACAAAAGCCCCTACGGCATAGGGTGTGCACTCTTCGGGCTCGTTTGGTGGAGACTTGGCGCTAATCATCACTGTTTTTTTCTTGTTGACAAAATTGTTTTACAGGTACGACGGGTACGTGCTGGACATCCCTCTTTCCGACGGCATCGAGGAGTTCGTGTCTGGAATAGAGAGGGCCGCCTCTAGGAGGGGTGAAGACCTGATACTCATACAGGTGCTACAGCTCTTGCCTCAACGGCACGCTAAAGGCTGCAGACTAGCGATCGAACTGAGACCTGGGTGGCGAAAAAATCAGTCGTAGATACTGGTGCATTACGATGCCTTAGACATGGTCAACGCTGCGGAAAAGATGCGGCATTCGACAGATCAGTGGAAAAGATGACAGCGCGGGGACTGCATGTATGAGAAGCACTCATGAACGGTATGCTCTGGATTTGGAAGAATGTAGACCGGCCAAGCAGTTGTAGCCGGCTGCTGACGAACGTGAAGGGGGTTCAACTTGGCGAAAGGCGCACAACAGGAATTTTGGACGCCATTATTGTGGTGCTGTCGAAGATGTAGGGGCTTTCGAGAGCTATTATCACAAGAGTTTGCTCGTCACTCGGTCGTGCGTTGGGGGTGTCTGCTGTACATGTACTGCCCCCCGTAGGTGCTGCCGACCCTTTGCTCGTACCCTGCAGCTCACCACTTCTCTCGCCCTGCCCAACGTTCCTTGGACGTTTTAATCAACAGTCCGTGAGACCGGGCGTTTCTCTGTCTGCGCACCTGACCGATCGGCTTGTTCCTCTCATCCACCGATTCTCGCTCATGACCTACGACTACCGGCCGTCGGACAATTCCCAAGGTATGTACGTACGGATATGTACATGGTGTTTGGGGGTGCTCGGCTGAGTACGGATCTGCGGGGCCTCCGGGGGGTTACGTAGATCGTGATATGGGTTTGGTGGACATGACGCGTGGGGCCCCTCTTGCCTGCGTCATGCTGTAGGCAATAAGGGTCTTGAGTCAACGTTCTTCCTCTTTCAGCCTTTGACGAACCCGCTGCACTCAAAAAGCATACATGGGAGATGTCACGCAGATGTGGTTCATGCAAACGGCTTCATACCCTTCCTTTTGTCCTGTGTGCAGCGCCGGTGTCTCATTTACAAGATTGGATCAGCTTTTCTTGTGCTACGGTGGTCAGCCCGCACTGATGTGGCATCGCGAGTTTTCCAGGCACTACCAAATTCCATGTACAATGTCCGCCAGGCCTTGGATTAGTATCGCTCTACGGGAAGAGCATTTCAGATTCCAAGTATCACAGGTAGACAGTCAGCGGTTTCAGATTTGCTGCGCTGGGTTGTGAAAGCCCAGAAAAACGACAATGAGCCCAGTGAAATGTTGGTATGGTCATGCGGTCTGTTTTCGATGTTGGGCGAAGGACGTGTTGATGTCGACACCACCATCTTTTGCTTGAGAACTGCTGGTGAGTCGTCTTGTGATCCGTTCGTGTTCCGCCGGGGCGTACGTATGAAACGACGCTATCACGGCTGAGAAATACTCGTTGTTTATCATTCGCGGAAAGTTGGCTTCTGCTTTCAGTTCGTTGCTCAGCGCCCAGCACGATTTTGATGACGCTGCGATGTTCATAAGTTTCTTGAGGCATGGGAAGATGCAAGTACAGTGCTTGGCGAACGAGTACACCTATGTTACCACTCTGCTGTTGGCGTGTCTCAAACAGGTGCATTCCACGGGCACAGAAGGGGAGTAGGTGGCGTCCCCAACAGTCCACTTTCGTGGGTGCGAGAGTGTGTTGAGGCTTTCGCTCCTCGTGGGCGGGGGAGCGAGCTGCGCGCCAAGACACTTATCGGCATCCCGTTCTACGGTGAGAGACATCCGTTTCCTGTCGATGTGGCGATGTCGCTAGTGCGAAGGGAAAGTCATGCATGTACTTAATTACATCCGGAATGGGAAACAATCGGTTTCTGGCGACGAGGCAGGGGATATGAAGGGCAAACAGTATTTGCTGTCGTCGAGCATTTCGTTCTTAGGATGATAGAAGTCAGTAGTTCTCGGTTCGGATTGTGTTAGCTTAGAATTCTGATGTTCCCGTCGTTCCCGCGGCGTCGTTTCGCATTCTTCAGCGCGATTGAAGCTGCCCTTATGTGTCAGTATGTCCATGAAGATGGCTTGGATCTCCCTCCCCCCTATTCTCTCGTGTCCTCACGACAAGTTGAGGTTTTTGTCCCCACCCCACAAGCATTTGACTCACACCATGCTGTAGTTAAACAGCGAGAGTCTGGTATGAAAACAACACCCCCCTTGAGCGCCTCTCGAAGTGCCCCGACTCCGAGAACGTTTGGCACCGCTTTCCTCGGCCGTCACATGCCCCCGGCTGTCCACACAGGGTACGACAATGGTCGGGCCATCACCTCGGGGGACGTGGTTTCTCTACTCACAGGCGGCAAAGTCCTCCCCGCTGGTCTCGAGTGGGACTCGGAGTGGAAGGAGCACATCCTTTCTTACCGAGAGAGGCGTGCTGAGGGCATGCAGGAGCACGTCGCGACGTTCCCTACACTGGCCTTCATTCAGGTGCCTAGCTTCAGTAAACGTGTACATGTAACCCCGATCGATGGCTCGCTCGCGCAGCCCCCATCCTCCGGCGGACTAGTTTTGCGCGTGTGATGTGCCGCTCGTGGCTAAGCCCACGCCCCCTTGTTCTCTGCCACCTATTTCTACTCGTCAGCTTACAATGTGTCTGGATTCGAGATACTTCTTGCGTAGAATACATCGGCTTCTCGTTACAGACAAACAAACAGGCCTGTGCTCATGAGTGCCCACAGCGTATGACACCGCGGACCCCTAGCTAATACTTCCATGTCCATGACGTGTCGACCAAATTCCAATGACGGCAGGCACCGATCTGATTGTCTTGTATTGCATTGCTCGAGTGTGAGTCACGCGTCGTGAATTATGTTACTGACAAGTTTTTACAAGACCGATCGCCGTCGTATAGTAGCTTCGGACGGGGGAGACACGGTTGTGTTCTGTGCAGACCGTATTGTCCGACGACCAGGGTAGGTGTGGGATCTTACAATTGCATGATAATGAGGGAGTTCTCAACTGAAGCCCTCTTCCTTTTCGGCAGGGGCACCTGTGTGGGGTATGATGCGAGTTGCTCTTACGTAGGAAAAACATGTTGTACATTTGACGCTACGCCCGGGCTCTGCCAGTCTTGTTGTCTGGTCAGTACTGTAGGCGTGTCCTTCTGGTGGTGTCTGCTCTCTCTCCCTCTGTGTCTCTTTCTACAACAGCTCACCGTTGGTCATGACCCGTCGAAATGTTTACTGCATTTGTTGGGATTGGTCACTACACGAGACGGCTCGGTCTTTTCCCACGATGTCCTTCCCATAACGCCGGTGCCAATTTCGCTACCTCCCACATCAGGAGCGGATCGATTTGGCGTCGGAGCTCGGCGTCGGCTTGGCCCTGTGGGAGCTCGGTCAAGGGATGCCGTATTGGTTCGATCTCCTGTAACCTTGACAACGCGGTAGAGGTATACTGTTGATACCATAACTACAATGCTAGCAGTGAGGGATATAACAGATGTGCCGTACTTGGGGCAAAAAAGCAGCCCCCCCGATTATTGCGTTTGCAGGTAGTCTATGGTCGCAACTTTCGGGGTGATGCGTTTTGCATTACGGTCTAACGTAGCAGTGCAACTGTACACAGTGTATTTATCGCGGGGAATGGTTAGGAGAGCCACCATTCCAGCTGCCCGATTGTGGGAGGGTCTCTCTCTCTGCGACCATTGTCTCGCCGAACCTTTCTTGTGAGAGAGAGGGTGTTTGCCTGGTTGGTGTCAACTCGAAGACAGGATTCTCCGGCTTGATTGGTAGGTGCACGTAAAGGTGCTGCTGCCTGTAGATAGAGCATTTATTCTAGAGGGACGGAGCTTCTCAGACGTCCAGGGTGTACAAGAGTCTTGGTCGAGTTGGCAGAAAAAAACGACGACAAACACTGCTGTAGGTTTCGCAGGGGTGTGAGGATCGCGTACTCGCTCTTTGTGCCTGATATAGACTCGTCTAATGGCAACCACATTTGACACGCGGGCTTGTTTTGATTCAGCTTTCCAGTCTAAGCGATGAACTCCTCTGCCCCACCTTGCACAATTGGTGTGTACAGAGTAACGTGCATTGAACATTGACGCTTCGCCCACGGGAGAACATATTGTTGATTGCAATTGTTTCGGGTTTTTCCGGCTGCGACCGCGGCAATTTGTGCGTTCCCTCAGTAGTACGGATCGGACGAGAGGAAAAAATGACGGGGTTCAGAGCGGCTTTCAATTTGAAGACAACAGCATCAACAAAAAAGGAAGGGAACGGCATACATGGCTGCTTGCACTGGCATGTGGTTGTTGCCCTGGGTGTTGATGTCGATGGTCGGCAGCTATCGAGTGGAGTTGCCAAGCTCGACTTACTGTAGCACCAACATTGCGTGCGGCCAATGTGTGTCGGTCAGAACGATGGATCACGATATTTAGTGTCGCCTGGAGTTTTCGCAGCCACGGGGCTCGGTCATGACGATACGTTACATTGGTGCCGCACGCATTGGTCAGCAATATCTAGCCACGTTCAAGTAGCATAGAGCGTTTCCGCCAATCAAACAAGAGGTAGGTGTCGTCAGTCGAGTACACGCCAAGGTGGGCCTCAGACCCCATCGGGTATCAACACGCTACAGTACACCGTCGGACGGATGAGCGGAACGGTACAACCGGACCAGGCTTTGTTCAGGCCGAGAATGGAGGCACCATCGTACCAACACCATCGGAGTTTGCTGACAGACGTCAGGGTTGTCGAGACTACCTTCGCAATCACGTGAAAGGTACGTTTGTATTCTGGCGAAATTGCGTTGAGATTGTCATCTGGATGACCAGACAGTTACTTTTCGTGCCCATGTTCCTGTGGGTAAGAAAAACAAACATTTGAGCCGTCCTCCCTAAGGATCTGGCGAATGGGGCTGAAGCGATAGAAGGCGGTTTACAGGGCGCCCACCCGGCGTCAGATGTCGCGCCCCACACCGAGAAAAAGTACACTGGGAATACCCCCCTCGTGTCAACTCCATTTGAACGCATGGCATTCGGAGATTGCCGGCGGGCAAATCTTGGATCTTTGTACATGCACGGTCGTTCAACTTTCGTGCATTCGTGCATGGGAACTCTGCAACAGGTCCACACAAATGCTGTAGCAAGACTTCGATGAGTAACAGAACCAGCGCCTCGTTCACCGTACACAATGGGTTTGCATTAGACGTTATCTTTGCCGATGACGTACAATGGTAGTGGTAGACCGTGTTTACATCCATCCACCAAGCGCCAACTCCATGCGCCGCGCGTGAACCCCCCCCCCCCCCCCCCCCCCCCCCCCCCCCCCCCCCCCCCCCCCCCCCCCCCCC